TCTATTTGCGGGTGGGAAAACATTTTTAAAATTTCGTTAAAAAATTACAGATATCTTGGTGTGATGTTACCCTTTAACAAAACCCCTATTTCCACAAAATTTAAAAAAGAAATGTAAAATAGGGGTAAATGCTCTCAAAGCTGTTGTTGGTACAATCCCAACTATGGTGCTAATGTGGGGAATCGGAGAATGATTTTACAAAAGCCCATGTTTGGTCCTTTTAAATTTTTATGCTGCCCCATTTGATATTAAACTAGAGGAAAGTTCCCTCCGGGCCCCTTTGGGTTAAGGGAAAATGAAGCTTCAGGATATTCTTTTGGGTGTCCCCGATTACAAAAATTTTTAAAGGGGGAGGAGGGTTTGGGATTTCTAGTATCAGTGATAGGATTTTTGGAAATTAAAAACTGTACTCGGTTTTTAGAATTTTTGAGAAACGAACCAGGCACTGTCACAAATGAATCTTCCAAGTGTCTAAGGGGAAAATAACACAGATCTAAATGGGTTTGTGAAAAGTGGAAAATTTCTTTAAATTTTTTTAACCTGCATGAAAATGTATCACTGTAGGCAAACCCAAAAGGGATTTCCCCCTCCCTGGGAAAATGTGGGTTTATTTAAATCCCCATAACCCACAAGTCCCCCCCAAAAAATCATTGCTATTTAAACCCCTTTCCCTTTAAAACTCTTGTTAGAGCAAAATGCTCAAAAAGAAATTTTTTTCCTATTGGTTTGTAATAAGTTATCACAAGTTTTTTCAATGTGGATCTAAAAAGGGGGCTTTTTGGCAGGGCTGATTCTGTCCCTTTTTGCCAAACCCCCCTAGTTTAAAAACGTAATAAATTTGTTGAGTTTTGGCATAAGAATTAACAACTGGGGTTCACGCAAACCCGAATTTTTTTGCAAACCTAATTGGGGCCCAAAACTAAACCTATTAAATGAGCCCTTTACCCATCATCATTATGATTTTTATGTCATCATTGAAGGCTCTTGGCTTTAAATAATGGGGGCTCCAACAAACCCTGTCATTGGGGGAAACCCGGTAAGATATTTAAAAATTAGGGAAAAAGGAATTAATGTACAAATTGGGTATGGGTCCCCTCACAATTGGATTTTCTCCTTCATGATAAAGTTGATATGTTTTGCCAAGAAAAGTTTCCGAAGGAGAACGTTTGAATTTTAACTTTGGTATAACTGTGTCTTGCATTAGGAATAATATTTAAAGGGAGAAGTAAATAATGAAGATGATTGTTATAGGGGAAAGCAGTTAGGAAACCTGAGTAGATCTATAACCCATTTGATAACATGAACGTGGGGAAAATATGTTTATTTGGGGGCAACTTGCCCGGGGAACAGACTGACTGATGTTGTATTTGGGCCCGGCTTAAAGGGTTGGTTTCAAGTATTCTGGGAGTTTGGGAGACCCCAGATGATGATCAAATAAATTTTTAAAATTTTGTGATCAGGCATTTTGGTAAATTCCCTTTTAAAAAATATGTGCTTTAAATTTTCCACTTATTAAGGGAATTTAAAAGACAACAGTATAATAAACCCATGTGGGACATGTCAAGAATTTTCTTATTAAAGAAAAAAAGATACCAGAAAATTTTTAAGGGAAATTTCCAAATTTGCTTTGTAACAGAAAAGTGAACTATAGATATGTAGATATAAACCCATATGTATTCCTGTTAACCTTTTGGGGCCTAGTTCCTGGGCCCTTTTTTGTACCCACATGCTCCCGCTCCGTCCACAGGTGGATATGGGGTGCCCAATAAACTAGCCACTTCGGTGGAAAAATCTAAATTAATCTATCGGGGGCAATGTTATCAAGGATGACAATTTTATCAAGGTGCAATGTTATAAAGGGTGACAATGTTATCAAGGGTGACAAGTTATAAAAGGGTGACAATGTTATAAAGGATGACAATGAATATAGAGGAAAAAATGTCAGAAATTATTCAGTTGAGACGATGTGAAAACTTTTGTTCCCTGGACGGGTTTGGGGGGGTCAACCCCTCCGCTGCCCGGTCTGTGCAGGCTCATGGGGATCAGGGTTTTGATCACCCAGGCTTTACTGTGGCCGCCGCAACTGAAGTCGAGTCACAGCCCGGCTGGTCGGGGTACTGATTTCAGGTGCTTGTCCCAGTCCCTTCTTGAAGACATCAGGGGTCTATTGGTAATCCCCCCATGTTGCTGGGGGGCAGTTTTTAACAGTCTTGGGCCCCTGACACTCATTGTGTTGTCTCGTTTCGTCTTGTGGAAACCCCTGTTGTCATTTGGGGGGATGTTGCACCCCCTGCCCACCCTTATGCTTTTGTAGGGGTGGTTTCGTGTGCAAATTTGGTATAATTTTAGGATTTTTCAAGTGTTATTATCACGTATTCTCTCGCCTGGGGTTCCAGAGAATGCAAGTCAAGGGACTTCAACCGTTCCCAGTAATTTAGGTGCTTTATCATACTTATGTGTGCCGTGAAAGTTATCTGTACACTCTCCAGGTCAGCAATTTCACCTGCCTTGAAAGGCGCCGTTAGTGTACAGCAGTATTACAGCCTAGGCAGAACAAGCGATTTGAAGAGAATCATCATTGGCTTGGCGTCCCTAGTTTTGAAGGTTCTCATTATCCATCCTATCATTTTTCTAGCAGATGAGGTAGATACATTGGTGTGATCTTTGAAAGTGAGATCCTCTGACATTATCACTCCTAGGTCCTTCACATTAGTTTTTCGCTCTGTTGTCTGATTGGAATTTGTTTTATAAGAACATAAGAACATAAGAAAGGAGGAACACTGCAGGAGGCCTGTTGGCCCATACTAGGCAGGTCCTTTACAATTCATCCCACTAACAAACATTTGACCAACCCAATTTTCAATGCCACCCAAGAAACAAGCTCCAATGTGCAAGTCCCACTCAAATCCAACCCCTCCCACTCATGTACTTATCCAACCTAAATTTGAAACTACCCAAAGTCCTAGCCTCAATAACCCAACTAGGTAGACTGTTCCACTCATCAACTACCCTATTTCCAAACCAATACTTTCCTATGTCCTTTCTAAATCTAAACTTGTCTAATTTAAATCATTACTGGGGGTTCTCTCTTGGAGAGACTTTCCTCAAGACCTTGTTAATATCCCCTTTATTAATACCTATCTTCCACTTATACACTTCGATCAGGTCTCCCCTCATTCTTCGTCTAACAAGTGAATGTAACTTAAGAGTCTTCATAATGAAGATTTCTAATGCTATGTATTAATTTAGTCATCCTACGCTGAATGTTTTCTAACGAATTTATTTCCATTCGGTTTAAAATGGAAACCAGAATTGAGCTGCATAATCTAGATGAGGCCTTACTAATGATGTATAAAGCTGCAGTATGACCTCTGGACTTCTGTTGCTTACACTTCTTGATATAAATCCCAGTAATCTATTTGCCTTATTACGTACGCTTAGGCATTGCTGTCTTGGTTTAAGGTTGCTGCTTACCATAACCCCCAAGTTCTTTTCGCAATCTGTATGGCTAAGTTCTACATTATTTAACTTATAAGTGCTAGGGTTATGGACACTCCCGAGCTTCAGAACCTTGCATTTATCTACATTGAACTGCATCTGCCACTTTTCTGACCAAGAGTAGAGTTTGTCTAAATCCTCCTGAAGTTCCCTAACATCTACGTTTGAATCAATTATCCTACCTATCTTCGTGTCATCGGCGAATTTAATTTTAATTTTAATTTTTCCATATCGGAGAAATTGAAATTTCTCTTCAATGAACTTCATATTGTTTTCAGCGACCCATTTAAGGATTTGGTTGATGTCCGCCTGGAGTCTTGTTGTGTCTTTAATGGTTACTTAGTTTAATATCTTTATTATGCACCCCATACCCATCCTGTGGGCGGCAGCATAAAAAAAATTACAGAGGTACATAATGGGTCCAGGGACTGGACTCCAGCGTTTTGATAGCTGAACAAGTTATAAAGGCAATGGACAATTCACACGTCTATACCTGATCACAATTTCAATGAGTTATTAATGTATATGTTAGCTTTATTTACAGTTAGCAAAGTCAGGGTATTTTTCCAGAATGGTTTGTAATACACCACTATGGATAAAATACTTTCACATACCTTTGAGGTATCTTGAACATTTCTGAGTGAGTTGTCTCTAAATTCATTAATTTTATTGCACTCCAATACATAATGACGCAGGGTGTGACAATACTCCATCTGGCAAAGTTTACATTTCGTTTGGTCTACATCTGGTGGTGGTGATTTAACCTGCTAAAGATACTTGTAACCCAGCCGGAGCCGGGCAGTAGTGACATCCAAGAGTCTGCTTATCTTGTTAGATGCACCATAGACGTGTGGCTCCTCCTGCGTGATGGAATGATGATAGATGGACTGACTGGTGTCTATCTCCCTCACTCTTAAATCAATAAAGTTCAATTGAAGTTCTTTGCGTATTATTGTTCTCAAACTGCTCACTAACAAGTCAAGATTGTAATCAGCTCCCTTTTTGAAAGCATACAGCTTAGCCAATTCATCATTTTTGTCATGAATCTGAAGACCAGTGTAAGATGGAATCCACAGCATGTGCACTCCGACTACACTGTCTACAGTCCTATCATACCTGTGTCTGGCTTTTGATACAAGCATGCCACAAATTATACTTAATAAATTGAGAGCATTTATAGATGACAGAAAATCAGTTATAATTAGAGTGTCAGCCCTCGATACATGGATGAATTTGAGTGCAAGGAGTATGGCAAACAGTTCTATTTGAAGAGTAGAGTCCCAGTTATTGATGCGTGCTCCAGTTTCTTTATGAGAGCCATCACTGTACGACAACAGCAGCACTACCAGCTGCACCGGTGGACTGGTGAACACAACCATCAACATAAATAATTTGAGGACACTGTCATGCAAATTCGGGTGTGAGAAAAGGGAAAAAAAGTTTCTTTTAATTTTAGTGTTTTAAATAGTTCACAGACGAAATTTCAGTTGACCTGCACCGACCTGGTACTCCAGCAGGAGGGCACTGCCGTAGTAGGCAGCAGAAGAGGCCACCTCATCGAAGGTGAGGTAGTTCTTGGAGGCTGAAATCATCCTGAGGCGCATGTCACAGTACTGAACATCAAAGGGATATAACACCAGGTTGAAGTCACAAGTGAAGTTTGTGTTGTATTTCCTGGAGAGAAACACAGAGTTCTTCCTGCCTGGGAACAAATCCACTGCAGAAAAAAACAAACACACAACTTGTAAGTTTGTTCTTGAACTGAAAATAATTGAGAAGACTACTTATAACCTTTACCGATTTTTTTCAGTACTACCATAAAAACGAAAGCTGGGAAGTAATCCTTGTTCATTAATTTAATAAAGATAACAAACTAACTCAGTTTAGCATACTCTAGAATATATATAAATTACTGGCGTTCCAGTCTATATATTTTGCCTCCCACCTCACACTGACCTATTTTGAACCCTGACATAAATTAATCTTTAAATTAAATTACTTCGATAGACCTCGTTAACAATTATTTAATCTTTTTTTCACTCCCTGTCAATATTGCTTTGCATATACCTGCTTTGAATTCCATATATTATAAAACTGCTTTGAACCCCAGCTTAGATGTAGCTGGGGTATATTTCTGATGCACCGTCCTTGAATCCCAGCTTAGATGTAGCTGGGGTATATTTCTGCTGCACCGTCCTTGAACCCCAGCTTAGATGTAGCTGGGGTATATTTCTGCTGCACCGTCCTTGAACCCCAGCTTAGATGTAGCAGGGGTATATTTCTGATGCACCGTCCTTGAACCCCAGCTTGATGTAGCTGGGTATATTTCTGCTGCACGTCCTTGAACCCCAGCTTAGATGTAGCTGGGGTATATTTCTGCTGCACCGTCCTTGAACCCCAGCTTAGATGTAGCTGGGGTATATTTCTGATGCACCGTCCTTGAACCCCAGCTTAGATGTAGCTGGGGTATATTTCTGATGCACCGTCCTCGAACCCCAGCTTAGATGTAGCTGGGGTATATTTCTGATGCACCGTCCTCGAACCCCAGCTTAGATGTAGCTGGGGTATATTTCTGATGCACCGTCCTCGAACCCCAGCTTAGATGTAGCTGGGGTATATTTCTGATGCACCGTCCTCGAACCCCAGCTTAGATGTAGCTGGGGTATATTTCTGATGCACCGTCCTCGAACCCCAGCTTAGATGTAGCTGGGGGTATATTTCTGATGCACCGTCCTCGAACCCCAGCTTAGATGTAGCTGGGGTATATTTCTGCTGCACCGTCCTTGAACCCCAGCTTAGATGTAGCTGGGGTATATTTCTGCTGCACCGTCCTTGAACCCCAGCTTAGATGTAGCTGGGGTATATTTCTGATGCACCGTCCTCGAACCCCAGCTTAGATGTAGCTGGGGTATATTTCTGCTGCACCGTCCTTGAACCCCAGCTTAGATGTAGCTGAGGTTATTTTCTGATGCACCGTCCTTGAACCCAGCTTAGATGTAGCTGGGGTATATTTCTGATGCACCGTCCTCGAACCCCAGCTTAGATGTAGCTGGGGTATATTTCTGATGCACCGCCTTGAACCCCAGCTTAGATGTAGCTGGGGATATTTCTGATGCACCGTCCTCGAACCCCAGCTTAGATGTAGCTGGGGTATATTTCTGCTGCACCGTCCTTGAACCCCAGCTTAGATGTAGCTGGGGTATATTTCTGCTGCACCGTCCTTGAACCCCAGCTTAGATGTAGCTGGGGTATATTTCTGATGCACCGTCCTTGAACCCAGCTTAGATGTAGCTGGGGTATATTTTCTGATGCACCGTCCTCGAACCCCAGCTTAGATGTTAGCTGGGGTTATTTCTGATGCACCGTCTCGAACCCCAGCTTAGATGTAGCTGGGGTATATTTCTGATGCACCGTCCTCGAACCCCAGCTTAGATGTAGCTGGGGTATATTTCTGATGCACCGTCCTCGAACCCCAGCTTAGATGTAGCTGGGGTATATTTCTGATGCACCGTCCTCGAACCCCAGCTTAGATGTAGCTGGGGTATATTTCTGATGCACGTCCTCGAACCCAGCTTAGATGTAGCTGGGGTATATTTCTGCTGCACCGTCCTTGAACCCAGCTTAGATGTAGCTGGGGTATATTTCTGATGCACCGTCCTTGAACCCCAGCTTAGATGTAGCTGGGGTATATTTCTGATGCACCGTCCTCGAACCCCAGCTTAGATGTAGCTGGGGTATATTTCTGCTGCACCGTCCTTGAACCCCAGCTTAGATGTAGCTGAGGTATATTTCTGATGCACCGTCCTTGAACCCCAGCTTAGATGTAGCTGGGGTATATTTCTGATGCACCGTCCTCGAACCCCAGCTTAGATGTAGCTGGGGTATATTTCTGATGCACCGTCCTTGAACCCCAGCTTAGATGTAGCTGGGGTATATTTCTGATGCACCGTCCTCGAACCCCAGCTTAGATGTAGCTGGGGTATATTTCTGCTGCACCGTCCTTGAACCCAGCTTAGATGTAGCTGGGGTATATTTCTGATGCACCGTCCTCGAACCTCAGCTTAGATGTAGCTGGGGTATATTTCTGCTGCACCGTCCTTGAACCCCAGCTTAGATGTAGCTGGGGTATATTTCTGATGCACCGTCCTCGAACCCCAGCTTAGATGTAGCTGGGGTATATTTCTGATGCACCGTCCTCGAACCTCAGCTTAGATGTAGCTGGGGTATATTTCTGCTGCACCGTCCTTGAACCCAGCTTTAGATGTAGCTGGGGTATATTTCTGATGCACCGTCCTTGAACCCCAGCTTAGATGTAGCTGGGGTATATTTCTGCTGCACCGTCCTTGAATCCCAGCTTAGATGTAGCTGGGGTATATTTCTGCTGCACCGTCCTTGAACCCCAGCTTAGATGCATCTCTTAAACCTAAGTTTATCTGTAAAACTAAGAAATCTTACACATACATATACTTTAAGTACAGACAAGAAGTGACAACAAAAATTCAAGAAGACAAATTTTTAAGTACAGATGCAATGACGTCATCGCATAACATTGTCTTGCACTTGTCTTGACCAACATAACATTGTCTTGCACCTGTCTTGACCAACATAACATTGTCTTGCACCTGTCTTGATCAACATAACATTGTCTTGCACGTGTCTTGACCAACATAACATTGTCTTGCACCTGTCTTGACCAACATAACATTATCTTGCACCTGTTTTGACCAACATAACATTGTCTTGCACCTGTCTTGACCAGCATAATACTGTCTTGCACCTGTCTTGACCAACATAACATTGTCTTGCACCTGTCTTGACCAACATAACATTGTCTTGCACCTGTTTTGACCAACATAACATTGTCTTGCACCTGTCTTGACCAACATAACATTGTCTTGCACCTGTCTTGACCAACATAACATTGTCTTGCACTTGTCTTGACCAACATAACACTGTCTTGCACCTGTCTTGACCAACATAACATTGTCTTGCACCTGTTTTGACCAACATAACATTGTCTTGCACCTGTCTTGACAAACACAACATTGTCTTGCACCTGTCTTGACTAACATAATATTGTCTTGCACCTGTTTTGACCAACATAACATTGTCTTGCACCTGTCTTGACCAACATAACATTGTCTTGCACCTGTCTTGACCAACATAACATTGTCTTGCACCTGTTTTGACCAACATAACATCGTCTTGCACCTGTCTTGACTAACATAATATTGTCTTGCACCTGTCTTGACTAACATAATATTGTCTTGCACCTGTTTTGACCAACATAACATTGTCTTGCACCTGTCTTGACCAACATAACATTGTCTTGCACCTGTCTTGACTAACATAATATTGTCTTGCACCTGTTTTGACCAACATAACATTGTCTTGCACCTGTCTTGACAAACACAACATTGTCTTGCACCTGTCTTGACCAACATAACATTGTCTTGCACCTGTTTTGACCAACATAGCATTGTCTTGCACCTGTCTTGACAAACACAACATAGTCTTGCACCTGTCTTGACCAACATAATATTGTCTTGCACCTGTTTTGACCAACATAACATTGTCTTGCACCTGTCTTGACCAACATAACATTGTCTTGCACCTGTCTTGACCAACATAACATTGTCTTGCACCTGTCTTGACCAACATAACATTGTCTTGCACCTGTTTTGACCAACATAATATTGTCTTGCACCTGTCTTGACAAACACAACATTGTCTTGCACCTGTCTTGACTAACATAATATTGTCTTGCACCTGTTTTGATCAACATAACATTGTCTTGCACCTGTCTTGACCAACATAACATTGTCTTGCACCTATCTTGACCAACATAACATTGACTTGCACCTGTCTTGACCAACATAACATTGTCTTGCACCTGTTTTGACCAACATAACATTGTCTTGGACCTGTCTTGACAAACACAACATTGTCTTGCACCTGTCTTGACCAACATAACATTGTCTTGCACCTGTTTTGACCAACATAACATTGTCTTGCACCTGTTTTGACCAACACAACATAGTCTTGCACCTGTCTTGACCAACATAATATTGTCTTGCACCTGTCTTGACAAACGCAAAGATGAAAAAGAGGAGGGGAACATTGCCACCGTGGCCTGGGGCCAATAGCTCTCGCTTCACACGGTGAGGGTCCGAGTTCGATTCCCGGCGAAGGGGTGGAAACATCAGACATGTTTTCTTACACCGGTTGTCCATGTTCACCCATCAGTAAAATGGGTACCTGAGCGTTAGTTGACCGGTGTGGGTCGCATCCTGGGACAAAACTGACTTAATTTGCCAGAAATGCCGATCATTTCTGGCATATTGTTTATATAGTAGTATGTGAGTGATGTCAGCTAGGACTGTACACCTTGTACATGTACTTGTAGTAAATAAAGATAATATTATTATTAAAAGTTAATTCAACACTTCATACATAAAATAAGGAATACATCTTTCACAACATATAACGGTTATGTTCACTCAAACAACAACAGACGAAATTTCACAAAATGTTCTTAAAAATTAAAAAAGTTATAGATTAAAAAATCTTTCAAATTTAGAACAACAATTATTGCAAAATGTCAGCAAATTCTGTATAGACAGTGTTTATGAAAGTTCTGGAAGGGAAGACAGTTTTTACACTCATTGGTCTTCTTAAATTTAATGCGGTTATGTTAAGAAAGTTAGTGGCTAGAACACTTATTTTACTGCAACAAAATTATATTGCCATTTGTGGTGTGATCTCATGAATAAATGTGGAAAGCATGAATCAGAATTTCGTTCTGATACATAAATTTATTTCCTTATCATTTTGGGGCGGAGGATGTTTTCAGAGAGCACAGAGAGATAGTGTTGTACCTTCACCAGGGGCGCTGTTGTCCCTGGTAACAGGAGGCTGCAGCCGCTGCAGGTACAATGAGGATTCTTCATCAAGCGTCGTGTTCTGAAAGTCGTCAGTGTTGACAAACCCTACAGTGGGAGCCCACAGACTCATCATAGTCTTGTATACCACCTTATTAAGGCTGTCGTTCATCTTCAGGTTGCGGTAGTCGAGACGGTTATCAAGCCAGACCATGTCGATCTCGTATGAGAGCTGCATTGTCATCTCTGTTGTGTAAACTGTGGCGGACTCAATATTTATGTGCAGAGTTACTTGTAAACTTGAGTCATTTTTGCCAGTGCCCAGACGAGGTGGCAAATCTTTCCTGTAATCTGCAGGCTGACTGACAAGCTCACAGTCAGCCTCGTCACTACGGTCCAGACAGTCATACTTTAAGTCACAGCGATTCTCGTGAGGGATACATGTAGCATCATCACAGGTATAACTGTTCGTGTTACAAGGTGTGAGAACGAAGGTCCGTGAACCTTCTGTTTGGTCACAAACTGTTGTTTCTAGATGCCAAACACGACGACCCATTGGCATGCCGAAAGGAGCGTTGGGGTCAAGCCTGGCTAGTGTCTTGTTTGTCACCACGTTGATCCACAGCCAGTCCTTACCTACCTTCCTGATTTGGTACTCTCCATATCCCTTAAAGTACAAATCTCCTAGATCCTCTTGGTAGGCAATGAAATAAATGTTGCGTTTTTCCAGCTCACAGGTGCCCAGGAAGGAGAATATCTGCAGATCTTGGAATTTGCACACAGCACATGACGAATAAATGATGCACTCAGTATCAACTACTCCCAATGGCTCAATATATACGCAGTTCTCATATATATTGCCATTGGGTTCCCCATCTTTCCAGGCTATGAAAGGAGCAATGGAGTTATCGTAGTGGGTGACCCAAGTGCCTTCTGTCTCACTGTCGGTAACTGAACCCCAGAAATTGTGTCTACATAAGCTAGGGTAGCCAGGCCAAAGTTGGACAGAGATATTGAACAATAAGCGAACCTGCTCCAAGTTGTTGGGTAGAGGCAAGTGAGAGCCCAGAGACTCACAGATAAAGAATGCGTGAGCTTTTGGCAGCTTGGGAAATGCAAAGTATGTGTTCTCTGTTGTCTGCTGGCAGAAGTGACCTAGAGGAACCTGATACTCCGTGATGTTTTGCAGGTCCCACCCTGCCTCCCAGGACAGGTAGTTACCCTGAGGATCTATTCTGCATCCAGCTATCTCCTCTATGACGCTCGTGTTCAGCACTGAGTCCCATATATTAACCTGAAGAAGGTGTAATAAAATTAAAGTTACTGACTAAGACACTTGTGTTAGAGTTTGCACAGGGAATTACTACAATCAAAGGCTCTGAAAAAAAAAATACTAAATTTGGTTAATAATTTTAATGAATATTGGATGAATTTAAACTGATCTAAGACTATTGAGAAGGATTAGGTTAAATTAAATTACAGTCATTGTAGCGAAGTTAAATGAATACTTGAAGCTGGTTTTGGACAATATTTATTTTATTCATCATTTAAAAGCTGGAAAAATATAACACATTAATAAAAGAACATTTTAGTAATTTGTCTTACTTGGCACACACACACACACACACACACACACACACACACACACACACACACACACACACACACACACACACACACACACACACACACACACACAAGCATCATAAAAGCAATAGGAGAAGACGACATGACCCAGCTGGAAAATTTTTGGAGAATAGGGGGGTTTGTAAAAAAAAGAACCCGGCCAGTGAAAGTGACCTTCAAGGCAGAATCGACTCGGAACAGGATCCTGCAGGAGAAAGCACGATTAAGGGACATGCCGGCATACAGGAAGGTGTATCTCGACCGCGACAGAACACAAGAAGAAAGGCAGAAACTGATAGAGATGGTACAAAGGTGAAAGGAGGAAAGAGAGGGGATGGAGGAGACAGGCAGGAGACACCAGACCCAGGAAGAAGATCAAATACAGCCTCCCTCACAACTTCCTATAGAAGCCAAACACTCTAAACCAAAACACCCATGCCATATCCAATGCCCCCACCTATTGCATTACAAACTCCAGCCCCACAGCAACCACCCAAAGTTCCTTATCAGGTCTACCACTTCCCCAACCCCAATATACCCCCAGACCACAGTCTTAGAAAAGAAGTTGAAGGTGTGGTATATAAATGCAGATGGAATAACAAATAAGTATGAGGAGTGGCATGAAAGAATCAAGGAGACATCCCCAGACATAATAGCACTCACAGAAACAAAGTTCACCAGAATAATAACAGATTCAATCTTTCCATCCGGATACCAAATCCTCAGGAAAGACAGAGGGAGGAGAGGGGGAGGAGGGGCTTCACTGCTCATTAAAAACCAGTGGGGTTTTGAGAAAATGGAAGGAATGGATGGCACGGGCGAAAGGGAATACTTAGTAGGAACAATCCAGTCTGAGGGACATAAGGTGATAATTGCAGTAATGTACAACCCACCACAGAACTGCAGGAGGCCAAGAGAAGAATACGATGAGAGCAACAGAGCAATGGTCGACACACTAGCCGAGGTGGCCAGGAGATCACACATGGGGTAAGCAAAGTTACTAGTTATGGGTGATTTCAAACACAAGGAGATTGACTGGGAAAACCTGGAGCCCCATGGGGGTCCCAAAACATGGAGAGCCAAGATGATGGATGTGGTACTGGAAAACCTCATGCATCAACATGTTAGAGACACTACCAGAGAGAGAGGAGAGGATGAATCAGCAAGACTGGACCTTGTATTCACCTTGACTAGTTCGGACACCGAGGATATCGTGTATGAAAGGCCCGTGGGAGCTAGTGATCATGTGGTTCTGTGCTTCGACTACATAGTTGAGCTCCAAGTGGAGAGAGTAACAGGAATAGGTTGGGAAAAAACAAACTACAAAAGGGGGAACTACTCAGGCATGAGGAACTTCCTGCTAGACATTCAGTGGGAGAGGAAACTGACAGGAAAACCAGTACAAGAAATGATGGACTATGTTGCAACAAAATGCAAGGAGGAAGAGGAGAGGTTTGTTCCCAAGGGAAACAAAAATAATGGGAAGAACAGAACGAGTCCTTGGTTCACCCAAAGGTGTAGAGAGGCAAAAACTAGGTGTACTAGAGAATGGAAAAGGTACAGAAGACAGAGAAATCAGGAAAATAAAGAGCCAGAGACGAATATGCACAGATAAGAAGGGAGGCTCAGCGACAATATGAGAATGACATAGCATCGAAAGTCAAGTCTGACCTGAAGCTGTTGTACAGCCACATCAGGAGGAAAACAACAGTCAAGGACCACGTAATCAGACTGAGGAAGGGTGATGGGGAGTTCACAAGAAAAGACCGAGAGGTATGTCAGGAGCTCAACACGAGATTTAAAGAAGTATTTACAGTGGAAACCAGTAGGACTCCAGGAAATCAGAACAGGGGGGTACACCAGCAAGTGCTGGATGAGGTACATATAACCAAGGAGGAGGTGAAGAAGCTGCTATGCGAACTTGACACCTCAAAGGCGGTGGGACCAGACAACATCTCTCCGTGGGTCTTTAAAGAGGGAGCAGAGATACTGTGTGTGCCATTAACAAAGATCTTCAACACATCATTTGAAACTGGGCAACTCCCTGAGGTATGGAAGATGGCAAATGTAGTCCCAATTTTTAAAAAGGGAGACAGACATGAGGCACTAAACTACAGACCTGTATCACTAACGTGTATAGTATGCAAGGTCATGGAGAAGATCATCAGGAGGAGAATGATGGAGCACCTGGAAAGAAACAAGTGTATAATTGACAATCAGCACGGTTTCATGGAAGGAAAATCCTGTGTCACAAACCTACTGGAGTTTTATGACAAGGTGACAGAAGTAAGACAAGAGAGAGAGGGGTGGATCGACTGCATTTTTTTGGACTGCAAGAAGGCTTTCGACACAGTTCCTCACAAGAGGTTACTGCAAAAGCTAGAGGATCAGGCACACATAACAGGAAAGGCACTGCAATGGATCAGAGAATACCTGACAGGGAGGCAACAACGAGTCATGGTGCGTGACGAGGTGTCAGAGTGGGCGCCTGTGACAAACGGGGTTCCACAGGGGTCAGTCCTAGGACCTGTGCTGTTCTTGGTATATGGGAACGACATAACGGAAGGGATAGACTCAGAAGTGTCCTTGTTTGCAGATGATGTGAAGTTAATGAGAAGAATCAAATCGGATGAGGATCAGGCAGGACTACAAAGAGACTTGGACAGGCTAAAAGCCTGGTCCAGCAACTGGCTCCTTGAGTTTAACCCTGCCAAATGCAAAGTCATGAAGATTGGGGAAGGGCAAAGAAGACCGCAGACACAATATAGTTTAGATGGCCAAAGACTGCAAACCTCACTCAAGGAAAAAGACCTGGGGGAGAGTATAACACCGAGCATATCTCCTGAGGCGCACATCAATCAGATAACTGCTGCAGCATACAGGCGCCTGGCAAACCTACGGATAGCGTTCCGATACCTCAGTAAGGATTCGCTCAAGACTCTGTATACTATTTATGTCAGGCTCATACTGGAGTATGCAGCACCAGTTTGGAATCCACACCTAGTCAAGCACGTCAAGAAATTAGAGAAAGTGCAAAAGTTTGCAACAAGACTAGTCCCAGAGCTACGGGGATTGTCCTACGAAGAAAGATTGAGGGAAATCGGCCTTATGACGCTGGAGGACAGGATGGCCAGGGGAGACATGATAACGACATATAAAATACTGCGCAGAATAGACAAGGTGGACAAAGACGGGATGTTCCAGAGAAGGGACACAGACACAAGAGGTCATAATTGGAAGTTGAAGACTCAGATGAATCAAAGGGATTTTAGGAAGTATTTCTTCAGTCATAGAGTAGTCAGGCCGTGGAATAGCCTAGAAAGTGATGTAGTGGAGGCGGGAACCATACATAGTTTTAAGGCGAGGTATGATAAAGCTCATGGGGCAGGGAGAGAGAGGACCTAGTAGCAATCAGCGAAAAGGCGGGGCCAGGAGCTATGACTCGACCCCTGCAACCACAAATAGGCGAGTACAAATAGGTGAGTACACACACACACACACACACACACACACACACACTCACACACACACACACACACACACACACACACACACACACACACACACACACACACACACACACACACACAAACACACGGGGTCCCACAGGGGTCAGTTCTAGGACCAGTGCTATTTTTGATATATGCGAACGACATGATGGAAGGAATAGACTCTGAAGTGTCCCTAATCGCAGATGATGTGAAGCTGATGAGAAGAATTAAATCGGATGAGGATAAGGCAGGACTGTAAAGAGACCTGGACAGGCTGGACATGTGGTCCAGAAACTGACTTCTCGAATTCAACCCTGCCAAATGCAAAGTCATGAAGATTGGGGAGGGGCAAAGAAGACCGCAGACAGAGTATAGGCTAGGTGGACAAAGACTAGACCTCACTCAGGGAGAAAGACATTGGGGTGACCATAACACCGAACACGTCATCGGAGGCACACATCAACCAAATAACTGCTGCAGCATACGGGCGCCTAGCAATCCTGAGAATAGCGTTCCGATACCTTAATAAGGAATCGTTCAAGACACTGTACACTGTGTATGTTAGGCCCATACTGGAGTATGCAGCACCAGTCTGGAACCCACACCTGGTCAAGCACGTCAAGAAGTTAGAGAAAGTACAAAGGTTTGCAACAAGGCTAGTCCCAGAGCTCAGGGGAATGTCGTACGAGGAAAGGTTGAGGAAAATCGGACTGACGACACTGGAGGACAGAAGGGTCAGGGGAGACATGATAACGACATACAAGATTCTGCGGGGAATAGACAAGGTGGACAGAGATAGGATGTTCCAGAGAGGGGACACAGAAACAAGGGGTCACAACTGGAAGTTGAAGACTCAGACGAGTCACAGGGACGTTAGGAAGTATTTCTTCGGTCATAGAATCGTCATGAATTGGAATAGCCTAGCAAGTGAAGTAGTGGAGGCAGGAACCATATATAGTTTTAAGAAGAGGTATGACAAAGCTCAGGAAGCAGAGAGGGAGAGGACCTAGTAGTGATCAGTGAGGAGGCGGGGCCAGGAGCTGAGTCTCGACCCCTGCAACCACAATTAGTTGAGTACAATTAGGTGAGTATACACACACACATACACACACACACACACACACACACACACCACACACACACACACACACACACACACACACACACACACACAAAA